GTAAAATGGGCACCTAACGGTCCCTGAAACCCACTTATATTGGCTTGTGTCAATTTTCTTAAGGAATTGCAATTAAATAAGATATTTCTTATTTTCATATCTGCATTATCTATAAATTAGAAAAAAATATATTATAAATAAAGCACAATAATATTTTTATATTATGAAGAAAATAATTTACAAATAAGACTTATAATAGCTCTGGAAATATTACTTGATTATATCTAAATATGGGTTATTATATCTTCCACGGATAATTAAATTTGGATCCAACATTAAGTAGCTTGAAAAAACCAATTTTATAAACATATTCCCAAAAATCAATTATCATGTTGTTTAGAATATGGTTGCCACCCACTTTTTCATAATAAATTGTTGTTAAAAACCTTAAGAACAAACTAATAAGAAGAGATAATAGTTAAATCTAGGTCTTTGAGGGAGGACCACATTTGCCTTCTTGTTAAGGCAACATTATTTGCAAAAATAAAAGTAACAAATAACTTCACAAATCTAAGACAAATGATCCCTCATGGATGACTTGGGAAGTGATAAGAATAGGATGAAAAAATATACATGAGGAATATATTCCATTTAATCCAATTGTGGCCATAGGAGTTATAGCAAAAATTGTTACAAATTTTCTCACAAAAAAGAGCTATATTCTCGAGAAAGAAAAGATCAATAAGAGAGTCAATGTGCATGTTAGTTTCAAGAAGGTTGATTAAATTGGAACTATTTAATAATCCATTTATAATCATGAATTCTATCTCGTGCTTAGATGTCTCTTATATTCCATGTTATAATGATTAGGAATCACATAAGAAAGCAAAAGAATTCATCTCTTTTCTTAGCTTTTTGACTAGATGTGTCACATAAGAAGGTGATTTAGCTAGCATATCCTCCATATATAAAGAAAACAAATTAATAGGCTATGTAGCATGAAGATGGGCTTCATAATCTTGAAAAACAAATAAGGAGTCAAAGGCTAAATTCTCTGTGACATTCATAGAGTTGACAAAGCTCATGTTGGGGCAAAGAAAACTAAATATAAGTTGGTAGTTTTTGGGGCAAGGAGAATTAGAGAGGAAAGAAGTGAGATTTGGGGTAGTAGATCAGATGTGGTCCAAAGGTGGAGAATGGGCAAGGGAAAGATTAAGGGTATTAATGGTTGTGTTTGGTGGAGATATAGAGATGATCAAATTTAGATGTGGAGGTGGCAATGGCCCTTAGGGCTAAGGCAGCATAACTCCTCTAGCAGCACTATTCCCATTACTAATCCATGCAATCATAATTGTCATGGGAGAAAGAGACATAAGCTCAACAACCTGTTGACTTCCAATCGTATTAGATTTCATATCGTTGAGATTGACAGGGATAGAAACATGAAAAATATAATTATGAGAAGCCTGAACACATACTCTCGCAAAGGCAATATACATTTTGAAGTACGTTTAATTATCAATAACCAAACATATTCTCACCATTCCTATCATGCTCATTCAAAAACCCGATCTTATTTCAACATCAAAGAAGAAAATTCGGAAATGAAATCTACAAAGGTCTTAAATCTCAAGTCCATTTTGGAAAATATATGAACATTCATCAAGAAAACATGGGCCTCCATCCTTATTCAAAATTGCTCTTAAAAGTATGATCTACAAAATCACAAAGTATAATAAAAAATTAAATTTAGCGGTGTATTTTTTTTTTAGATCGTATTGTTATTCCTTTAAAAATAATCCTGCTAATTGGAGAGGATACAAAAAGGATAGCTATTCTGTAACCCTTTAATAGGCTGTTCGGCCTTTATCCTCTTTCGTTGATCAGGATTGTGTTTCAATGTCAAATTATTAAAAAAAACCTCTCAAATGCCCGACCTTTTTCCTCATTTTCTTTCTGACGACCACCTTTTTCTACAGTCGATAAGAAACGAGCCAAACCTAGCCATTATTTCATAAACAATAATGCGTTACTGCCTTCCTTCATAGCTAGGCTTAAGAAAATTTTAACATTAAATTTTCTAAGTATATTTTGGTGCTCGTAAATCACAATTAGGTGAGTTATTATTATTATTTTTTTCTTTTGTTTTTTCTTTAAGGATTGACATTAGCAAAAAAAAGTTTTTGGGGTCATCATATCAAAATTTTAAAATACAAAAAAAAAAAAAAACACATATAGTTTAATGCACTATAAATTCATAAATTTAGATTTTTATATTTTTAAATTAAGTAGGATAAATTTTAAAAATGTTTTATTTTTTTAAAATAAGTGTAATACAATAATAATCAACCATTAAAAGAAAAATATAAAATTAACTGTTGAAAAGATGAGGATGCTTACATAGATGAGTGGCTTCACTCTTAGAGACAACTAGAAACTAGTATATATATAAAAGGTTGAAGTGGCTCCAATGACAGAAAAGGTTAGAGAGAGTCACCCTAGATTGTTTTGACACATAAATATCAGCCTTCCGATAGATCAGTTAGGAGAGTAGATATACAGTAGCCTCCCGCTTAAGTACGCATCCCGATTAAGTACGCAAAATTTTAACAAAATCTTAGAGTTCAACATTTATAGGAGATCATGTACTTTGATAACACCAAATATTAAAAAAGTTATACAAGTGTGAACTTGAGTCATTTCATTATTATATATATGCTGACATAATTAAATTCCATCATTAAATTTAAAAGGTTTATTATGTACATGTGGAGGACTATTGCGTCAAAAAATATTGCCTATCATACAAGTAAATTTCTCCCAAAAAATGAGAGGTCGTATTTGCAGACGGGTGGAGGTGACGTACGAATAGAGCTAGGAGTGCAGATGTTAATAGGGCGTACAGACGCGAATGGGGCATGCATACATGGACAATGAAGCCAAACGAGATATTGGTTTGCGAACGGCAGACTGGAACTAGGTGTGAGGACGCGGAAGAGGAGGCCAGACGGGAGCGTGGTTTGCGAACAGGAGCGGAACCCTAGACTAAATCTAACTATGCACCTACTAGTTAGGTACACATGAAATATTCGGGTTCAAGTTGCGTACTTAACCATGAGGGGTATTGTATTGGATTTAGCTTTTGCTAAGACATATATAAGTAGAATTTAAAAAAAAAAAATTTACCAGAAAATATTAGAACCGACTCTTAATAAGGTACAATAGAGGGAGGGAAAAAAAAGATTCATGTAGTAGATCCCATGTAAAGAGATAAAGACTTGATATTATTGATGTACATTAATAATCAACTAATTACTACAATATATAAATAAATCTAATACTTCTAATTAAATCCATTTAAATAAAATTATGATGAAATAAATGGTGATATGTATATCTCCGAAATAAATACGAAGCTTCATCTCCATGAAGGCCTAGTGCGGAGTCCAAGGAAGTAAAATCTACTTCTCTAGCTGTCCACTGATGAGTGATATCTTATCCTTTAAATATTGGCGGCTTCAACGTAAAGAGAATTTAAATTTCCAACCTAACGTGATCCCATCTACCTAGGCTTTGGAAAAAAATTCATACAAGGAGTTTCTATTTGGAGGTTTTTTTAATGAAAAATATGATTAAGTAATTAAATTTTTTACTTTATTTTAATAAACTATATTTTGATGTTCATCTCTCTAAAAAGGAAAATTTGAAAAATGAAAAAAATTTTCTAATAAATTTTAAATTAAGAGTTTATTTGAGATAATTTTTTCATTGTTCTATTTGTTCATTTGCTTTCTTGGTACTTTCTTATTATTTTTTAGAAATTTTTGTGATGGGAAACGATTTTTTCAATGGAAGATGCTCATGTGCAAGTGAGACAACGATCTCAAAAGATGACTCGAGCCACCAATCCAACATGAACTTAAACCAAAAATTTTGCAATCAGATTGATCTGCCAACTTGATTTTGATCTAAAAAATACCCATTTAATGGTTTTAAATTCTTTTATTTCTTAATATAATATTGTCATTTTTTATCTATTACTCAAAAAATAATAATTAACAAGTTAATACAAATAATTTTTTTATTAAAATAGGTGAATGAGTCAAATTCAAGTAGTTAGCTGGTCGAGTTTGTGTATTTTTTTTACTATAAAGTAGGGGTGTCAATTCGGGTCAACGGGTTGGGTTCGGGTCGAACCAGGAACTGACGCGGCACTATCGGGTCAACCCGAACCCGACCCGTTTTTAAAAACAAGTCAGGTATCCAGACCCAAACCCTACCCGATTCGGGTCCGGGTCAACCCGACTCAACACGAATGACCCGGGGTTGACCCAAAATTGATAGTTTTCGGGTCAAAATCGGGCCAATCTTCGATTTTCGAGTAAAAAACGGGTCAATCTTGGGTTTTCGGGTTAACCCGACCCGATTTTTAAAACGAGTTGATTTGTTGAACACGAACCTGACCCGTTTCAGGTTTGGGTTGACCCGAACCTGAATTTTTTCAGGTCGGATTCGGGCCATGTTTAGGGTTTAGGGTTTCGGGTCATGTCAAATATTGACACCCTACTAAAAAGGTTGTGTCAATTTTGGCTCGAATTCCAACACAATTAATTGACTAATTTTGACACCCTTTGTGTAATAGGCTAATAGCTTTAAAAAAAGTAAATATTTAATTAATAATAATAATAATATCCGTAATAATTTTTCAATTTATTTTCCCTACAATTATTTCATAATTTTCTTTAAAAATTTACAGCCTCTCAAATAAATCTTAAATTGAGGCTAGAGCTCGAAGATCTTGAATAAAATAAAATTAATCTAATAAAAAAAATAAAATCTGATTAAATTAAAATATCTCGAGGTCCTCAATCATTTAGCACTGTGCATGCATTCCGATAAAGAACAGGACAACAGAGAAGAAGGTGACGACAACCACTGCCTCTATATATTCCATGCAAAATTGGGTATTAATATTATACATTATATAAAGAAAGAGAGAGACGAAGAAGATTATAATGGAGTACAGAAAGAGACACGATAGTACGAAGCCTGAAGCCCTTTCAGGATCCAAGTTGCCACTGAAGCTTGATATCTGTAGCGATGCTCCGCGCATCAAAACTCGTGCCCAGGAGCCCCCTTCTCGTGAAGCCAACACAGTAGAGCCCCTTCTCTCCCTTCCAACCCTTCGGGAATGGCTCTTTAGGCATTCCCTCCGCCGTGAAATGTCCTCCTCCATCCTGAAACGATAAGTTTCTTATCAAACGTTGAGAAAAATTATTTATTTTTCTTCAAAAGAAGAAAAAATGTAAAAAAAAAAATCAAATTTTTATATTATGTTTTGACTTAGTAATTTTATCTTACCTTGAGCCAGGAAGGCACGTTGCTCTTATAACCAGTGGCGAAAATAATGGAGTCAAAGCGCTCCTCCTTACCATCGACGAACTTAGCTCCTTGGCCTGTGATCTCCCTCACGCCCTCAGTCACCTTCCCATTAAACCCACGCAGAAAGCATAAGCAATAAATATAAAAGAAAGTAGCAGGGCATCGATCATGCCTCCTTATTGAACAGAGAGAAGGTCAGAGCTTTAAAAGCTGAAATGGCATTTATTAAAGAAGGGGAGAGCTTCAAAGTTGAAGAAACAAAGCAAAAAAAAATTAAAATCAGGAAGATCAAATCACATCAAATGTTGCCAGAATTAGCCATACTCACCTTGATCTTGCCGATTTTGATGAGAGACAGAGCACCTACGTCCATCACCGGAGTCTTTCCAGTCAGATCTTTGAGCTCAATGGGCCCAGCTTTGGGCCGTCGAAGTCCGACTGACCCGGTGTCGCCCATCACCAAATTAGCCATGAACAGAAGAATCATGTCCACCATTCGGAGTGGAAGCCATTTCAGTAGCGCCATAGCTATCCCGAACGTCGAACACCCCATCATTTCCCTCGGCAATACATGTACCTAAATGAATAAAAATTTAATCTTTAAGCGCGAAAGAAGCAAATCATGCAATAAAAACAATAAAGATTTAAACTTTTGGAAAAAAAAATAAATTTAAATATGACATACATTGCTTCTAACCACTATAGATGGAGAGGCATTATGCCGGCAGAGATCCAAGCAAATTTCCATGCCGGAATTCCCACAGCCTACAACAAGAACCTTCTTTCCTTTGTAAAATATGCCGGATTTGTACTCGGAGCTATGGATTACATCGCCGGAGAACTTAATAAGTCCAGGAAAGTCCGGAATTACAGGTACGGCGTTTTCTCCCGTTGCCACCACAAGCCACCGGGTCAAGAACTCCTCAAACTGTGTCCTGACTCGCCATTTTCCTGCCGCTGAATCAAACTCTGCTTGCACGACGGCGCAGCCGAATCGAGGTTTAATGCTGTGAGTGGCAGCATAGGACTCTATGTAGGAGATGAACTGGTTCTTGGATGGGTACTTGGGAAAGTGTTCGGGAAACTCCATTAAGGGAAGCTCGCAGAACTGTTTGGGTAGGTGAAGACTAAGCCGGTCGTAAGTCCAGTGGCGCCACATGGAAGCTAAACTTTTGGATTTCTCGAGGACTAAGGAAGGGATTCCTGCGTCGGCGAGGCATGCGGCGGCCGCGAGGCCTGAAGGACCGGCTCCGACGATGATGGGACCGGGAACCAATGAGAGTTTGAGAGAAGAGGTTTTAGCTGGAATTGAAGCCATGCTCTGTTCTTCTATGTTTAAGCTTCCCCTGTTTTCTTACAGTGGAGTGGAAAGGAGGGAGCTTTACGGCTGAAAAATGTCACTGTTTATTTCTGCTGCTTCTTCTCGCCACGGCGAAGATGGCAGGGAATGGAGTGGTTTTATAGAGCGAAGGAAGGTGAAGAGCGTGTTGTGGCGGGCGTCGGAACTTGAAATGTAATAAGTTTGGGTTTTCTTGCTCTACTCGGCATAAATAAATTGAAATGTTGAGATTTTCTGAATGGTAAATGGGAGATGCAGGTTGAAGTAGTATAATTTTAAATTTTTGTAATTTATAAATTTAATTAAAATTATTTAATATATTTTTTGCTATATTATGAGTTTTGAATAAATTAAGAAAATTTTGGTTTAAAAATTTCAGATAATATTACTATGATGAATTATTAAATTATTTGTTGTCCTCGAGTATTCACAACGGTAGAGAAATATAAAGTTTAACGTCTTAGTTTTGTACAAAGATTCAGCACGCATACAAATAAAAAAAAAGGGTGCAATATTCATAAGAGACCAAGATTTTTACGTGGCAAATCCTGAAAAGTGAAAAAACTACAGGGTTTGACCCAGTTTGAATGAATTCATTATTATTTGTAGTTGATTACAAATGAGGCCCTTCACTGAGGGGAAGGCCTTAGCTTGATGTAACAAATATACATTTTACATAGTGTGTTACATGGTAGAAACATGAAGAATCACAGTTGATATGTTTTTTTTTGTCAGAAAGATCATAGTCTGTGGGCAACGTAAGTCAGAAGAATCGTAGACGACAGGCCACGGAAGTTATAAAGATCGTTGTCTAACGACGAAGGTCGGAAGGACAACGTCAGGTAGAAGTCCATCAATGGACAAAAGTTTAGCGTTAGATAGAAGTTCGACGAATGCCCGACGATGGGAAAAATTCTGGCGTCAGATAAAAGCTCGATGGAATTCCGGTGAAGGGCGGAAGTCCGACGTCAGCTAGGAATCCTGCGACGGGCGGAAGTCTGGTGTCAGATAGGAATCGAGCGACGGGCGCAAGTCCGACGTTGGGTAGAAGTCTGTCGATGGACAGAATTCGATCTGACATCGAATAGAAGTTCGACGAAGGGTAGAAGCCTGACATCAGGTAGAAATCTGACGACGAGCCAAGAGCCGATGTAGGTTAGAAGTATGACGTCAGTCGAAGACCGGGTAGAACTCCGGCGTCAGTTGGCATTCAAGCATAACTCTGACGTTAGTAGGTTGCCGGGTGGAAGTCCGACGATGGTCAAGGAAGAGTCTTGTGACAAGAGAGCTCTCTTTCTTCTTTTCTTTTTCTTCCTTATATTCTTGCTTCCTTGCTTAATTTTGACGTTAGTTGGTGATCGGGTAGAAGTCCGTCATAGGTCGACTACTGGGTGAAAGTTCGGCGTTAGTTGGGGGTTGAGGAGGAGCTTCTTCCTTCTCTTCATTTTCTTCCTTCTATTATATTCTTCTTTTCTTGCTTGGATCCCTTTTCAAGAGAAATGAGGGGTATATTTATAATTTAATGAGAGTGGCATGACCAGTAAATATGAGGAAGATTAAGGGTAAATTGAGAGTGGTTTGAATGGACGACCGATGTTGAATCCCTTGATCGTGAATTGTTTATCAGGCATTTGAAGGCTCTAATGATATCAAGATTTGACGATCTTGGGCTTGTTGGATTTGGCTCGTTGAGCCGCTCGATTCGACTACAAGCACACCATACTTGAAAACTGTTTTATAATCCAAATTATAATTTGAACCATCCAAATGCTCATTTGGGCTCAGATTGAGTCGAATTTGGTGTCGTTAGATTTGTATTTCCGAGATGTTCAATTCGACTATAAGTTTACTTAAATCGAAGTTCAGACGGTCCCGGATTTAATTTTTAAAGCTTCCAACTTTATTTTGCCTCAAGATTCGTGCCCGATCAAGATAATTTTTTGATGATATATCATTATTAAATTTATTTTAATATGAATATAATAAAATAAACTTTATTATGCAATCAAATTAAATAATTTTGAAACACATCCCCATGAGACTTTGATCAAAATATCATGGCCAAAATATTTTTTACAAATAAATAATTTGAAACAAAAATTAATAAGTTTAATGATGTTTTTCTAAAATTTTAATTGAATGAGGTTACTGTGTGTATTATAAATATAACTTTCCCAAAAAAAAAATATATTATAAATATAACCACAATTAAATAATTATATTTATTTATACCACTTTTTTTAATAAATTAAAATCAAAATTTAAACCATAATTGATAAAATTATTGAAACTACATGAATTGGTGGGGACCAACACCTAAATTAAAGAAAATACGAAAAATAGAGGTGCATAATTGTTTATATGAACTATGAATTATTTAGATTAATTAATTAACAATGATCCTTAGTGTTAGTATACTCCAATATTAAACTATAGCTTTTGGTAACGAACAATTATTACGTCCTTCGACCGAATGAGAGAAAGGAACCGTTAGGTGTCCGTTTTGCAAACCGATTTTATAAAAAAAAAAATAATTAAAAAGAGCTTTTTTATTTATTTTTTTATATTTTTTGAAACCATTAAAGAATTTATAAGACCTTCATATAAAAAATTGATTAAATTATTTAATTACATTTATATTATATTATTATTTTATTTAAAATATCTTAAACCATTATCTATAATATTAAATCCATTTCTCATCTCAAAATCGGCTAACAGAAAATTTTGAGAGACAATTGAGGGGAGAGAAAAGAAAAGCTTTGATTTAAAGGTCGTAGAGCAATTATCGTTAGTCGGCCTAGTTGGAAGATTTACTCATCTCACTGTAAGAAATCATTACCCTATTTTTTATTTCAAGAATTTAATATTTTTATTATTATTTTAATCAAAATTGTGTTTATGTTATCGAAAAATAATGATAATTTTTTATTGGTAAAACTTTCATATCGTAACTTTGTATATGCTATAGATATTGTGATTATGAATATTTTGGGTTTTTATTTGAAATTTTTTATCAGGAGATTTTGTAAAATAGTAATTTTTACATACTCAGAAATTTATTTTGACATTTAAAAATAGTGTTTTAGCACAATAAAAACTTTAAAATATTGTTATATACAATTTCTAATAATTTGGATAATTTCTAAAAATATGAATTTATGCTCAGTAGGATTTTTTTATTGCTTATCGTTATGATGTTTTTACACTTTCTAAATTAAACTCAATTATATTTTATTTGATGCAATGTATTAGAAATGAATGTGAATACGTAATTGAGATTTTATGTTATAGTACTATAATAATAATGTGTATGTAAAATACAATTAAAGACTAATTGACCAGTTAGTTGGGGACTAATTAATGGCATGTACAAGATGGTGAGCCAACAAGATTTCTTTTAAATACTATAGTTTGGTGTTATCTTCTACTGATTCATGTGTTACTGATTAGGAGTTATAATGAGATGATTGTTGTGCCGACATGCAAAGAATGATGACTTTGTTTACAAAGCCAACAATTTACTAATACTAATGCGATGATACTGAAAAATATCGTTATAGTTAAAATTCTTACTTATTTGATGGGACATACTAAGCATTTAATATATTGATTTGATACTAATATAGAATAGCTAGATAATATGTATACACTATAATATGATTTTACTTCCTTGATATAATTTTGATAGCCTTTACTAATGATTTAATTTTACTACTTTATATGATCTCTTTACTGAATGATAGTACCAATATGATAATTGTTTATAGATTTGACTCTTACAAGTTAGGTATTGTGTGTTTCGAGTTGCATCGTATTATATGTTGAGAATCTCATTGCTAGTTGATTGTTACGTATTATGAGTTGCATATTATATGTGCAAATTGCATTTTGTGTGTTACTTATTATGAGTTATAGATTCTATATTGTGTGTTACTTATTTTATGTTGTGAATTAATGATTACATGTCTTAAGTTGCAGGTTGTATGTTTTGTGTTGTGAGTTTCATGTTGTGTGTTGCAACTTACGTGTTTCATTTTGTTGGTTGCATGTTGTAAGTTTTATGTTGCGTGTTACAAATTTTGAGTTGTAGGTTACATGTTGTGTGTTACGAGTTATATATTTTTAATTACATGCTTCATGTAGCTAGTTACGTGTTGCGGGTTGCCTATTATGTTTTGCAAGTTTCAAGTTGCGAGTTGCATGTTTTGTATTTCTCTTTGCATGTTGCATGTTGCATGTTACAACTTGCGAGTTGTAGGTAACAAGTTGTGAGTTGCATGTTGCAAGTTATGTGTTCAGGATGAGGGTTGCGTGTTTCTTGTTGGAGGGTTAAAGCACATTGTGAAAATCTTCCCGGATAATGAACCGAAAGAAGGGGCGGTTTATCGTTCGATTAATTCGACCGGTCGAATCGGGTTTGAACAGATGATATAATAAATTATATAATTATTAAAAATTAGCTTCATATTCGCAGCTATTTAACATCCTATTACTCTTATGGATTTTATTGAAACTTATTACATTCACTCTAATTTCTTTTTTATATAAAAGCTCCTATATATTTCCAAAATAATTCCTTTGTATTTCTTCTAATTTGCTTGAATTTAAGAAATAATACTGTATCAAAAAATTTGAAATGATTGACCATCACTATTTTGGCATTCATTAAGCATATATGTAACTCAAAATAGATAAATATTGTAACACAATAAAATTGTATTGTCCTCCACATCAACCTATAACATTGATTTGCTTTAACAATACCATAATTTCACATTACACGGGCATCAATTAAGTTTATAAAATATAAATAAATATCACATGATACAAATGTGGCATCAATTAAGTCTATAAAATATAAATAAATATTTCATAAATAACTTTAACATGATTTATAGCTAATCAAATAAATGGAGAGTAACTGTAATAACAACAACACCACCAAACGACAGACCTTGTGGCTCCAGATTCTCGCA